ATAAGGGCAGGGCTGGCTAAGCGTACAGAAATATTAATTTTTATTTTAGGATAAATTAGAGATGCAAGTGCATTTAGTTAAAGCATAATAAAAAGTTGTCACGACGACTAAATGAGGTTTCGAATGGAATTAATTAAGATAGATTTTCATTTACATACTGCCAAGCAAAAAAAATCTATTATATGCACAGTCTATAAAATGAATGGAAGGACTAAATAAAAAGTATATCATTGTAATAAGCGAAAAGTTATAGTTCCAGGACTTCTTTGGGACACAGATCTGCTGTATGTGCTAATGTCGACCATAATGAAGAATGGTGTTAATCTACTTGTTTTTCTTAAACTGGCTGTGTCCATATGGATCGGTATAGAAACTGTCCCTAGATTGGCAATCATTAACCTAAGTCTTCGTCCTAATACTATTTATGTTCTCAACCCTTTCTAACTGCAACTCTATAAAGGAGTTTTACACTATTTCTGGGTAATGCGATCTTTGATAGTCTAGACTTGCTGAGTAGTTATGCTCTCATGTATGTGTCTGGCTGTTAGTATATCTTGGTGCTTTTGTGCGTGCACGTACGTGTGAAGGGAAAAGTAAATTCGACCATACATGAAAATGGTTATAGCCAATGACTCAGAAGATTAAATTGTGATTGGATGCATGCTTTTGATGGCTGCGGAAGATATGGTCCTAGATTTTCGTTTGAGCAGGAAGCGTAAACTCAGAGCAGCATTGAATCGGCTCTGATGAAGACATCTGATTGATTGCGGGAAAGGGATGCTGTAGAAACGTCATATCAAACAGAGCGTTGACTGCACGCTCTAAGCGGGAAACTAAAACATTGATATCGAATATCATAAAATCGAGTAAAAGTTTATAAGGAGGATGAAGATAAAGGTTTTGTGAATGTGGATGCAAAAGAATTTTAAGGTTTGCCCATCAAAATCAACTTACAAAACTCAGGTCCATTTGATAATCTGCATCGTATATTCAATCTGGGTCAAAGAAGTACAAAAGCAAGATGGCATATGCAGCCAAGAGAAGAGAAGAATAAGATATCAGACTATCAAAAAAGCAGTATATTTATATGAACAAAGAACTGCGTTGAGAGCAGAGAAGGAAACATCTTCAGAGTGCCAAAATTGGGCGAGTCGTGAGCATTACCGAGCAAGCCTGGTAGGGAGTGGGAGGTAAGAGGTGAGAGGTGGGTGACGGAAAACATTAATATAGCAACGATCTT